AAGTAATATGACATACTTGGAGTCAATTCATCTTACCTTGTAGAGGAATAATTGCTGATACCAAAAAGTGGTAGGAGTGACATGACAACTGCGTAAATCCAACCACCAAACATGATAAATGCTGCGGGTTTTATTTTGATACGTTTGTTTAGGTACATCGCTCTTGTTATAGCCAACCAACGTTCCAAGGTAATCACGGTTAATGTAAAAACCGATAAGTGACTAGCAAATACTGTCAGAAAGCCGGCTATTTTGCAGCCGGCACCTAAGGGCAAAAAGAAAGCATATAAATTGATGTGATTCACTAAAGAAATTTGAGCAAAGGATTTTAATTTAAGTTATCTAAGTTATTGTGTGATGGTAATATTGACATATAATGGCAGATATTCAACTGATACCACTAAGTTTTGTATCATGAGTGCTATCATATTATGCTCATTAGGTAAAATAAGTTATCAATGATAGATATCAAATGGCATAATCTATTAAGACTTTAATAGAATAGTCAGATTAAATTAACCGAAAAACACTGTAGGAAGCACGACTAACATATGAGCTTTGCCTTTCATATACATAATATCCAAAAAACGTTTAAGAAGATTTGAACATCCGTTTGATACAAAAGGAATTTTGTTGGTAGATCATCTCCAAACTGGTAAAACAATAGGCGCTGGTTATTATACTCGTCACGATGCTTTAAACAAATTTTGGAATGGAAAAATATATGAAAATATTCTATTTTTTAAAAGAAAAAAATTGTTTCAATGAAGATAATGCTCATATGACTTAGATAACCATCACTAAAATAAGTGAATTACAACAAATCATGCAACCACCAGAGCCTCTTATACTACTACTAGACCTCAGAAAGCTTCTTAGAGGAAACGATTTTTATTAAACAAATTCGTAGAAGTGGTCGGAGGGGGCTATTTTGTAGATATATATACAAAGATCGTTAAATTAAGAAACTACAATTATTATTTACTACTTTCAGCACTTGAGTATTTAGCAGTTATTTGATTACTATACATATAGCGCTATATAGCAGATCACTTTAATTTACATTCGAAACACTGTTCCCTGTACGGTTTCAACCTTTTAAGCTTATGATTGTTAAAGGAAGCTCAGGAATTGTATTAGGTTGTTAACTTTCATACTTTCAACATATAATATTCCAAATAATGACTATAAAAAATCTGCAAAAATATTTGCTTTAATCAACTAAATGAATAACTTAACATATGTGCTTACTTAGACTCTTAAAATGTCTTAGTGAAATAATTATGATACTGTATCATATTTTATTTAAACTCAGCATGACTTGTGTACAGTAGTACCTATATTTTCATATAAAGCATCACAAGTTTCTCATTTATGCTATAAAATAGTTCGATAAAAATTATATTTTTATAGCTTATTTCATCACATGTTAAAGTCTATCCACATAGAAAAGATATTCATACAAATTAATATTAAACTGACTAATTACGTATCACTTTTTGGGTCCTTTTTGGGTAACCAATAGAGTTAATTTATTAGCAGCCTGCTTCCCTACTGACCTACACCGATGCATAGATATTGGTTACAAGACAAAATAACATATATTCTGGTTGAAATACAAATGAAATTATATCATATATATCATGTACCGCTCAAGTTTTAATATTTTCATTGAAATTTCTTTTTGAGGTATAGATCAAAAGATATTATATTGCATTAGAGTAAGTAACTCATTTTTAATCTGCCCTGTTACATTACTGTGAAGAATATTGAGACCTCAATAAATTCATTACTAATGTACATTTTCCTTACATTACTACATAAGTGATTTGTTGATTTTGAAATCATCTTCTCAAATACTAGATTCGCTACGCCTTACCGCTTTCATATGAAATCAAAGTGAATTAAAATAATTCGTATTTAGAAAACCATTAAAGTTCTACTCAAAAAATATTTAATGGGATATTTAATTAACAACTCTGAACATTTAATAACTGCTAGCTATTTCATCCCTCTATAAAATATTTATTAAACTTAATCCATTACTAAAAGAACTTATGTCTGACTATAAGTTATAAAATCTCCCTGAATACATGAACAACTCCTTTACATACAAAATTCCCACTGTGATTAAGGAATTCATTGCCTTTTTCATACTTACCATATTGCCAGTCGTATGCATAATTAAAATATTCTCCCATCGAGTGTGCATCAATGCAAGCAATCAAAAGCAAATATAGTCCCAAGCATAAGTCCGCGAAAGCCAAATGGCACATTAAAAACCTTGGCACTGAGGCAGTTTCAGATCTAATGGAAAAGTAAATGAACATTGTAAGCAAACTCAAATTTGATAAGAAAAATAATTAAGTTTGCCCGTAGCACTATTGACTTACTTAATGGACAAAATTACAACTAAAACCGCTACGTTGCCAATAACAGCCAAAGCAACAACAATCCAAACCGATATACGCAGCCATTGGTAGCCCATCACATCTTCACAGGGATTAAGTGCATCTGGCATTGGATAGCATTCAACATCACGTTTTCTGTGAAAGAAAAATTAAATTATATTATTTCTCACTTTTTATTTCATTGTTTTTATTAAAATAAAAAATAAGTTATGTGGTAAGTGCTTTGCTTGCAAATTGACTACTTTTACAAAGACAAACAACCAAAGGGTTTCCCTTTAACCTTTCACTATAAGTTTACGCACTTATAAGTAATCAAATATTAATTTAATGTTTTGAATAATAATTTGTTTGCTTAACACTAGAGGAGGCAAGCAGGTAGTCGTGTACTTAAAATGCACTTTAAATTATCATAACATGAAAACTCTATAATACTTGAAGTCGTACCTTCTGCTCAAAAAGTATTCGGATTTTGTAAATAAAACACAAATTTAAATTTTATTCCAAATTTATTTTATCTTCTTCAAAATATGCTCCTTCTGAAGCGATACACATATGCCAACGCTTAACCCAATCTTCCATACACTTTTCGTAGGCCCGAGCAGGTATGGCTTTTAGTTCCTTCAGTGAATTCTCTTTTTCCGATTCAATCGACTCAAAACGTTTACCACGAAGGGGTAATTTGAGTTTCGGGAATAGGAAAAGGTCGCACGGCGCCAGATCCTGCGAAAAAGGTCTATATTTAAGGAGTAGTTAACAAAGACCAAAAACCTTTTTGAGCAGAAGGTATAACTACATTAATTACATTATCATATATTTTTTGATAGATGGGCAGATAATTTTCCACATACTCTTCAATATTTTTATTTTGAGGTTTCCCTTCTCTCCTTTCTGCTAGCAATAAACATTATTTTACTGCTTTTCTAACTTATATTTATAAGGTTAAACAGAAAGGGATTTTGCGGGTTTAACATAGAATTAATTGGCTTTCCTAAATAGCTTTATATATCAATTATAGTACTTAAATGCCTCATTATTCGCTGTGTGTAGCTCACTATTCATCACTACAACATCTCCTTTCTAAACTATCGTAGATAAAATTCTAGGTAAATGTATTTATGTGAAATCATTGTTTTTTTTGAGAAAATAGTCTATGTAGTAAGAATACTTATATCTCAAATTTTGTAAAAACAATTGCAATAACAATAGTTTCCTTTGAGTATATCATACATATGTATATGTATGGAGTATATCGCTTCCAATGAATAATATTGAATAGTATCTACAGCTGCTTATTTTAAAATAGTTTAATGTTGAAATTACCATTATTTTCAAAACCACTATCGTTATGAACAATAGACACCAACACAACATTTTTGTCCTCTCTTGGCACATATGTACAAATTCCCATATTGCTATAAAATCGAAGCAATGCAGCACCATGTAAGGTATAACATTCCTTTCATAAACTTTATTTGGAAAGAGTTTTACAATTTGGAATTCTCACAATCAAAATATCAACAGACAACAGATACAAAAAAAACTTATCCATAGTTATCTGAACTATATCTTATTATTCCTACATTATGAAAATTTTATATCCAATTTTTAGTTAGCCTGTATACAGTCAGAAAAACATGCTCTAACGACATACTGGTATGGATGAACCAACATGATGCGTTGAGTATTAATATTTTGACCTGAGATTTAGCTAAAATGAGTTTAAATCAAGCAAATTATTTTTCTAAATATACTATTCTACTTTAAATAAATAAAGTTGATATTACCTCATTTTAATACTATACTTCTTTAGTTTGGATAAAAGGTATTGCTTGAATATAATTCTTTCATAATGAAGAAAACACTGTCTATTGATTATTAGGTTCGCGCTTGGCTTATCTAAGCAACTCCATGAACATTACCACTATTGAGTATATCTCGAATTTTCGCGTTTTTATTAGATTTAAAGTTGTTCTGTCTTCAGTTTCTCAAAGAGCTTAACTCTTTGTTAAAAGTTATTGAATTTGAGGGGAAACAAAAAAGCCGAAAAAAAGACCTTTTCCCCCAGAAAAGGGGCGGGCTCATATTGTATTATGCCAAAACCATTCTGCGGTCCTACATGAAGCATTATCAAACTTAAAACTAACGAATAACTGGAAAGAACAGGTCAAACTGATTGGGATAATGTAATTGTCTGTATACAAACTAAAAACTCCATGCCAAATCGATTAAAAGCCAGAAGCAACTAATGGGAGCTATAGGGAGCTACTAATGCTGAACAGAAAAGGCATACGATTTGTCACAGGATTTCTCACTGGATATTACGGAGTAAAAAACATCTATTGAATCTAAGTATTACAAGTGATAATAACTGCAGATTTTGTCACGAAGTATAGGAAACGGCAAAACACATTCTGTGTCACTGTGATAGTCTTGCCACACCCAGACTTCGGTACTTATCAACTGTCTATCCACTTGTAATGAAAACAGGCAATATCTCTCCAAGAGCCATAACGGCATTTTTAACTGCAACGCGCCTGTGGAACTAAAATGGGTTTGTTACAATAATTCTCAAAACATGCAGTGACGTGGTGACATAGTTCCCAACCCTTTTCAAAATCTAATGTAGTCAAATCTAGAGTTAAAGTTAAGAGCGATTAATAGCAATTTTAGCTTCATAGAATAGAGCTTGGGTATTGTGTGGGATTGGAAATCAATGATCGCAAATCATTGTTGCATTCATGGTTGTCCACGTTTGGAATAAGTATCGTTCGTTTGACACATTCAAGGTAATTCTGCAAAAATGCAAAACATAATAATAAATATCATATAGTGAGGTACAAGTTTATATTCATATTAACTGCTTTGTATACAGAAACCGATTTAAGGAGATCTAAGTTCAAATAAAAATATTTGTTAAAAAAAACATGTCTTCTGTAAAATAATCCACAATACCTACGAAGGGTTTGAACCTCAAAAATGTTACTTGTATATGCTACTGGCTTTCAGCCCTTAAATTAAAACAAACTTAATTTTGAAGAAAAGCAAAAGAAATCAATTAGGATGCATGCGAAACCGATGATTGTTTACTCCTGAGTTAAAATATACAATATATTAACTTAGCTTTCGCTTACCTAAAAGTAAAATTTCCGCAATACTCATCAAGTTGACTCTCGTCAGGATCAATTGTTATCTCTTCATGAAATATGCCAATCTCCTTAATCATTGATTCTGACATATAATCACCACCATCTATATAATCTGCATCATCAGTCGATTTTGATTCATTATTCACGATTAAGTCTGAGTTCATCACTCGACTGTTTAAAAAAAGAAATAGTGTAAATATATTTAAAGTGAATATTAAAAATAGCTTAAGTACATATACATATACTTACATATATGTACATACGTACATATACTTGCATATATATCAAAAGCAATTGTAGAACTTATTTTTTGTTTCTAAGTCTTACTTGCTTTTTTTATTTAATCTAAATATAATCCTTTACCTATAAAACACTCCATCTGGTTGCAATGTTTGTGTTCCAACATAGTCACTACTTATTTCAGTCTCTTTAGCTCTCGTATAACGTAAGTTATCCTTATTTTCACTACTTTCCATGTCATTTCCTGTCTTGATGCACTGTTTTTGCCACTTTGCAATTTCATCCATACGCTCAGCGTGACGGCGAGGATCATGTCTGGATGGAAACTTAAATGCACAGCAATGAAAGGAATGCGTCAAATATGCTTTTTGTAAATTCTATAAATAAAATACAAATGAAGTAAATGTAACTTTTTATAAAATCTTTTATTGTACATAAAAATAAGAGAAAAAAATTTTATTTTGTGGAATTTATATAATAGAGTTACCTTAAAATTATAAATAGACGGTATCGTCTTTAAAGTATGTGTATTTGCAATGCGTAGTATCTCTATATCCTGCAGGCCAACGGACGGTAAACGTACAAGCGAAGTACTGGAGAGATCTCTATAAAATTTTGAAACTATTATTAGGTATATAGGTATTGTATGCCTGCTAAATATCTAAGTGATTATTAAAACTTGAGTATTTTTTTAAACAAATTATATGAAAATAATATATGAGCTTCTGTTCCTCTCATGTTACAGAGAGTATTGTTAAAGTTGTTGTTTTAGATATGTGGAGGTAATTGAATCTCAATACTTTGGTCAACTTAATTAACTAAAAAAATGTGGCAATATACCACATTCTACGGATATTTTGTGATAATATTAGTACCAAGTTATGGCACAATGCAGAATTAGCTTAAAATTAATTGGAGTAATAATCTGTGAAAACTTTTTGTCAAAAAGTTTTTTGTGATGAATTTTTCTATCAATTGGTGAATATGAAGAAACTTCAGAAAGTACGCAATACAACAATTCTAATTAAAATGTTGGGCTATAGTACTTCACATAAATTTAAATTTTTGTTTTTCAAAAATTTTCCCAGAAGTGTGATTTATTTTGCTTTGAATTTTCAAGTTTGAAAAACAGTATTTAGTTATTTCCGTCAATTTTTACTCACATAATAGGAGCATAAAATCAAAAGCATTTTGAATGCAGAATATGCCAAATGTCAATAGTTTGCTTTTGCAAAAATATTTACAAAACTGAAGGTAAAATGCTGTGATATGGAAAAGTGTGGCAATCAATCTATTTATGTGAAACAGCAGGATATGTTTATGTTAAAGGAAAAATTTTTTGAAAATCAATTTCAGTTTTCCTTATAATTTTAAATATCTGACTTATTTCCAATTTATATACGCATTTGCAGGGCAAAGCAAAATGTTTATCCTTGGCTTCAATGAAATTCGAAAATCGTTAACAATAAGTTTTATTAAAAACAAGTTTATTATACGCATTAATTCCAAAAATTATGTATTTTTCTTATAAGAAAATTGAACCATTAAGGCACATAACAATTATTTCCAAATATAAACATATCAATTTTATTTTTAGTAATAATGAATACTCATTTTGTTATGTTCTTAACAAAATATTTACTATAACAGTATCATAAGTTACATTATAATTTAAATTTAAAATGAAAGTTCTGCCTATTCTGCAAAATATAATTATAGTTTAGACTTGGTCGACCCTAAAAGTACGATCCAGAAAGTATGCAACAATCGATGATAGGAAAGGGATTAGAAAGCACCCGTAAAAGAAAGACAAAAGAAGTAATGATGTCAATTTACATCTTTTAAATAGAATTTATAGGTGTTTTTCTATTGAAAACTGGACAAGTGGTCACTGTTACTTCGTACACTTCGTATCCGCTTATCACAAGTTTTCGAAAATTTTCCAAAATACTAAGAAAAAAAAACTACACCTATACTATCTGCATAACGGATAGTATACAAATACCTAGTAAAATCGAATGATATACTCAAACCAGTGTACCACAAGTTTCCGAAAATTTGCTAAAATACCAAGAAAAAGAAACTACATCTACACCTTTCACGTCACGATAATGCACCCGTTCACACTACTGAAAGACAAACAACCTCATTAAGTTCTAACAGTTCGAAAATATTCGTCCAGCAACATATTCACCCGTCGGTTTCTTTCTATTTTCTAAAAGAAAAACAAAAAAAATTACTGCAAACTTGATGTAGGTTTATTATAGTATATTTGAGAAGTAAATAGAAAAGAGCAACACATTCAAAATCCACTTTCATTTTTCCACCTGTTTTATATTGTAGTCAAAATAATATCATTTTAATTCTGAATTTCTACTTAATTAGTTCTTCAAAATTTCTATATTTCAATTTATATGAAAATATTTAATTACAATACTTACAACTCTTGCATGCTAATGCCATAAAATGCATTTGGATGGACTTCTTTCAATTTTAGATTCTCTTTCAGGGTTCTGGAATTAATTATTACAAACAAATATTTTTGTTTTATTAATTTTATTTATACGTATATTTGCTATATATATATGAACATAAGCTCAACTATTTATCTGAAATATACTTACAGTTTTGCTATTTGCGAGCCATAAAATGCAGAATCATCTACAAAATTTATATCATTATTTGCTAAAATTCTAAGAATATAAAAAAGAATAAAATTATTTAAAAGTTTTTAAATTAATTTTATGAAAAGGAACTATTTTAGAACTATTCAAAGTTAGGAAAGGTTCGAACAGTAATACAGCAGCGTTGTGTCGTCAGCCAAATTTTTGTTGTTGTTGCTTCATTACTGTTCAAACCCTTTCTAACTTAAATTTAAGATATTTCACAACTGAATTGTATAATCTACATCAAAAGATGTAGTTTTAATTTCTTAAATCACGAAACGTACGTAAAATCATTGTTTAAAAAGTCTTATGTCTTGTTAAGTAAACTGTCAAAAAAATCTCTCCGAAAAAGCGCTTAAGTCAAATCCACTTTTAAGATAATGAACTTACAGTTTTTGTTAAATTTATGCCAAGCAATTGTTTTGGCCTATAAAATAAATTGCCTATAGGTTGTATTATTGCCTCAATGAGATATGAGATATAATGAATAAGATATTTAGTTAGAAAATACTCTATATGCTTTTGTAATAAATAATAGACTTTTTTCACTATATTACACTATAGTATTGTATATAGATATTCTCTAATTAGGTATGCATCTATACTTACAATTGTTCAGTCTTTATATTAATAGATTTTATACCAATTCGAGTAATGTGATTGTTATCGAGATCTCTAGAAAACATTTAAAATAGTATTTATTTAATAATTTTAATGAAATTAATTCAAATGAAAAAATGATAAATATTTAATGAAGATAGTTAATGATCTTAAGTAATAGGAAGTATGAAAAGTAATGACTTTATATACTGAATTTAAGAAGCCTGGAATTTATTGCAGCAACTGTATGACAGTAATTGAATTGTAATTAATTAAATTATATAGAGACTTTAATATAATGTCAGGCACCTTTCATAAGTTTAGGTGTCAATAAAAACTTTTTCTTATATAATAATAGTAAGAACTAAAATTTTATGTTGATAAAATTAATATTTCATAACTACAACTATAAGCATATCACATCTTCCGTATAGCCAAAAGAGTGGCATATTCCATGAAATTATATCTTTCATTTTACTAGCTATAACTATCTATCTATCTATCTACTATCTATAATAAGATTTACTATAGTAAATAGCAAAATGTGAACTGTATAATATTGGTGTGATATCACTTGGCTATAGCTGATATTGACTTAAAAGAATTTATTGCAAAATATAAATTAAATCTGAGTAAGTTATCTGAGTAAGATTTAATTTAATAAGATTTAAAATCTTTCCACTAATATAATATCATAATATTTCCATTTTAATTTCAACTACACACTTGTGCAATATGAACTAAAATAAGAAATGCTTATATTGCGGACCTCACTTAGAACAATGGATGAAATTACATTGGAGTGAATGTTAGATGGCTTATTAAGAAAATAATTGAACTTTATCAAATCACCAAGAAGTGACAATTACACGGTTAGCTCTTTTTAGACGGGAAGTAGTGAATAAAAGTGCAAGTTTCCTAGCTAAGGAAACAAAATAAGCTAACATGTTCTGTCAGCCTTTCATTGTATTCTTTTATTATATTCCCAAATTCAGTTCTAACTAAGGGAACTTGTAGATCTCAACGGATGCTTTCATTTTAATATACCATCAGACACCAGTGATTATTCTCAATGGTTTTAAATGAGCTCATTCGATAATTTTAATATTTGAAACACAAGTTTACCAAATAGCTGGATATCATAAATCAATATGGTTCTTATGATGCTCTTATACAAAAGGTAAGTAAGTAAAATAAATTAAAAACTATTTCTTAATTGCATTATAAATGTGCTTAATTAGTCAATAAGCAAATGCTTATAAAATACTGATGAATTTCTATTAAATTCGGAATGTATTTGGTATACAGTACTTACTAAATAATATAGGTTATAGGTTAACATATGTGAAATACTCCTATAATCAATCAAAAAAATAGTTGTTAAGGATTCACCTATTTAAAAAAAAATCCACCACCATTTTTAAAAATTCATTCCATATTCACAATGCACATAAAAATGCAGTACTTGGTGATTTACTCTTAAGACCATCTAAAACTCGAAGACAAGCGAAATAAACGAAAACATCTCTATATTGTTTGCAATTATAATTAAGAGTACTTGAGCTTGATATAGTACAAATAGAACTAAAGATATACATAATTTTAAATGGTATTAGTTACCTATAAGGATTAAGCGTAAGCAGAATCCTATCTAGATAATAAAGTTCACCGATAGTTTAGTAGAAGACTTAGTTGGAATGTGAAGTAGATAGTGTTTTCAATACAAAAGACAATGAAACTGCCAGCGCAATAATCCCCTTTTTTATCAATGGATGACATGTGGCTTGTTTTGACTTTATTAATTTAAATTACTGCACTAATACTCACATCATTTGTAAAATATTTTGAGGTGGTAAATGTATTAAATCCGGCACACTCATTAAGCCGCTATTTATTATTCGGCTATAAAAAAAAAACATTAATTAAAATCATTTTTTCAGTAAATATTATTAGTATTACACAACAAACATAGTATTTATAATATAAAAACCAAAAATATTTTAAATATAATATAAATCGCTCTACACTCTCATATATTTTACAGAATTATATATATATATCTATGCATTTTAATAATTAATATATTTTTAAGTTAATCAATAAACTTTAAAAGTAATGTACTAGTTAAAAAAATGTAAATCGATTTTTTATATTATTTTTTCATTGATAATTTTCAACAGTTTAAAATTTATTAAATGAAAGTGCCATACCGGCACTTTCAATGTCTCATATAGTACAATACTCTTTTATGATGTTGTATATTAAAACCTTACTTAATAAAGTGTTAATAACGTTTGTTATTCATTTTTTTGTGTACTTTTTTTTAATAAGAATATTCTCGTATATGTCCTCAATATGAGTAGCACAACTTCACTATGACATTTATGAAATATATTTTTCTCGTTGAAAAAAAAATCAATTTTAGTATTTAAACATACTCACATTATTTTTATGGTGTCTGAAATGCCTTGGAAAACATCCTTTGACAGATACGTTAACATTGGTGCATGGGAAATATAGCTGCGTTTCAAAAAAGAGTAAATGTTAAAAACTATAAATAACTTGTAGTGCAAATAAAATTCTACAAGGAAAAGTAATTAAAGCTTTTTGATTTAATGAAAAATTGCAGCAATAAATATTTTAACTTCATCGTATGCCGCGCTGAAGTAATTAATACTATCATTAGCGTTGTGCACTTTGTCATATACGAGTATAAAACATTACAAACTGAAATACGATATACAAATAGTTCCACTTACATGGTACGCAGTAATTTTAAGGTGGCGAATGCGCCATCCTGGATTGTTTCCAACTGTTGTAAATCAATCAGGACACTGCAAACGTAAAACTTTTGTTAAACTGAACAATTCACACGCTTAACATATTTTCTGTACTTACACATCCAACAGACTTTCTGCGTAAACTTTTAGCCCTGTATTTCGTAGTCTAGGTAATCCCGCCGAGGCAATTGTCAACCTTTGCATTGATACTGTAAGCGTTTGTGGTACACGCGTGAGTGCTTCGCCTTCGCATCTGCATTCAACTTCATCCTACAGAAAACAGAAGAGAAAATGTGATTTTGCATTTTAATCATACGATGCACATCTGCCTATAGAATACTTTATGTAGTTTTATGGTTTTTAAACATTTTCACACTATAGATTATTATAATCTTTGATGAGCTACGAAACGTGCAAATATGCGAAATAAAATAAATACTCTTACGAGTGTATTAAACTCACGGTAAAAATGTTACTTTTTACTTTTATCTTCAAGAATCCTAGTAACAGTATGCATAATTTCCTCCCCTTTCATTAATAAAACTCAAGACTGTAATCATGGATACGAATACAATAACAACATACCATATTTTTATAAAGAGCATATAATCAAGCTCCTTTCTCACTTGGTGGTAAGTGTACTTAATTAAAGGGCGAAGTACTTTGCTGTCTAGTGCCAACGAAATTGCCACTTGTATATCAGCAGTAACAATCTCATGCAAATTACTTGGTTAAGTATGTGTTGATATCAATTGACTTTCGAGATACTTTATTAGGTGTTGAAGTTAAATCTATTTTGTATGTGAACATTTCTTTATTAAGTTTAGAATTTGAAAATATAGAAAAAGTCGAAAGTAAAGAAAGTTAATTAAATATACTGAAAATTCTACACACTTTCTACATTAATTTAGATGAATTTGAAAAGAAATATAACTACACTCAGAAAAATATGCTCTAGCCACATTCAAGTTAAATTGACCTAATTATTTTGTTAGAGAAATCTTAACTCATGTGGTAAAGACGATATGAGAACCAACATATGGTATGGTTGAACCAACATGATGCGTAGAGTGAAAATATTTTGACCTTAGACTTAGTTAAAGTCTGATGAAATCAATTAAACTATTTTTCTGAGTGTATATTTGAATATATTATTATTTGAAAAATAAATAAATACAAAGAATAAATATAAAGAAATATATACATATGTTTATAAATCTATCTTACATTGCAGCTTTAAGTTGATTTATACTTTTCACATGATATTATTCAACCTCTTAAAAAAGTGTTAGTTTCTCTAACGACTACGTATATTTTAACCAAAAACAGCTAATTGTCGAATCTTTAGAGCTAATGACTTAAAATACAAAGTCATTTATTAATTGTCACATATCTTTCAAAATGAAAATCAAAAATTATATATTTGAGACTAATGAAAAAATCACAAAACTACAGACTGGTATCTAATTGAATCTAAACGTTTAAAATATTGAAATTAAGAAATAGGTACTTGCTCTTCTTCCAACCAATTGCTTGAACCAATATAGACTTTTTGAATCCAACAAAGTTGTTCAACTTCTAAAAATATTATGAGAATTCAAAATTCCAAAACAAAATTCTGAGATTGCTATAAATACGCTTGTGTACGTTCACAATAGTGATCTTGAAAACTATCTTGACAAAAAAAAGGTAGTACCGAATCATCAGTCTTACTGATTCAAGCAAATGGAAGAAACAAAATAATGTTAAAAAGCAGCAACTTTTTATGAAATAATGAACATCTCTGCAAGTATTGTGCAGAATACCAATAAAATTTACTGTACCATCTAAAATTCAATTTAAATTCTACTAACATTATCATCTTTCCTATCATTGTTAATATTATTGTCTATTTACTTTCTAGATATCAAAAATGTATAATAATGCATTCACTTCCTCACAATTTATTCTCATTATTCTGCACACTTCAACTAATGATAAATAATTTTATTATATTTAATTCTCTTCTAATAATTCTGACTGCAATCATGGATTGAGTCCCCACTTAAACAAAACAACCTTATCCAGATAAAAAGAAAAACAGATCTCATCTCGTACTTGTTATGTTAAGTATACATCCGTGTTAGTAAGTAAACAATGGTTTCAGTGAGTTAAACAATCTGACGTTTGGTAATAGCATCCTTAAATTGCTACCTTACCTACAATAAAAATCTTACAATCTATAGCAATATAAGCAATATAAAAGGTTCTTCAATGCAATTTCTGAACTTTTATTTTGACCCGAGTTTTGCAACAATGGTGGCAGTAAACCAACAGTTGAGTGTGTGCTGATGAGATATATTGAAATTTTGCATCAAAAATATTGAAAAGAAATTTTTGGAGTAATAAAACAATAATTTCTATCCGTTAAAAATCTTAAATCACATCTTGCAAGGCTCAGAAGTAAATATTTTAAATAATATACCCTTGTCTTTCTCATTGAATAATGCACTGCAAGAAAGCAAAAAAAAATTAACTAATTATCTATTATCCAGCAAATTATTATTTTTTAATGCTTCTATTCGTTATTTGTTTTTTCTATAAAACCTTATTATATTTTTGTGTACTCTGTATTTGAAAGTCCTGTACACCTTAGTTGTGTTTTTGCAATTGAGTTTTCTAATTTATTTCTTTAATTCAATTGCTCCAAGGAGACAATAAATAAACTTTAAAACAACATTAAATCGACTTAATTATTTCCAACATTTATTTATTTATTATTTATTCTAACTTTGCGTTTATTTAAGTAAAATGCTACATAAAATTTTAATTTAATAATTGCCTCGAAATGAATTTAATTTTAAATGAATGTGCAACATAGCGTATGAGTGACAAATAATAAATGTGATAATGTCAGAAGTAACAAATTTATTTATGATTACTACTAAACTTTAAATGAATGAAAAACAAAAATTGAATTTCACTATAGCAAGAATGTAAGTATAATTCACTCCTTAACTGAATTTAAATTTTGGTACTTAAAATAAAATTTTATAGTTCTTTTATTTGCGTCCTCTCTTTTTACATGCATTAGGAAAATTATAATAAAATGTCTCAATCTAAATGTTAAAGCTTGATATCTTTTTTCTATTTTTACTACAATAATACAATAAGCTATCGCAAATAAAATATGTAATAACACAAAGTTAAAAAATACTTAATCATATAATAAAGCTCTTTATGTCTGTCATATTAACTTTGCAACCCAATGTGTCAATTTTGTAGCAATATGAGGAAGTTAATTAGATTAAAGTCATCGAATACACTCAGTCAAAGAAGCACTACACTAAATATAACATTTTCGTAAAAGTGTAGTAATTGTCAAGAACATATAATAAAAGTGTCAATCGCTGATGGGTTTGTTCAAAGAAAACTTCACAATAAAAAAATAAAAATATTGTGTATGTACTATTATACACGTCTTGCTGTTATTGAAAGACATTGCTGCACAAAAAGGACTTCCTATGCCCCTTTAACATATTCCATGTGTGCATATCAGTGGCGTGGAATAATAAAGAAAGCTTAAGGCCAAAACGTTTAAATTCGTGTTATTCACTCATGTAGGAATGTCGAAGTAATATACTTACTCCCATAAGTTAGAAAAAACCTAAGTGATTTATTGAATTTTTTATAACAAACTCAAATTTGACAGGGCACGAGTTCAATATCTGGTACTTGCAGTCTCAAAAAATTAATTACGAATAATTAAATACAAGAACTATTTCCAAGACCACTGAT